GGGAGTTGTGGTGGTGGTGGTGGTGGTGGTGGTGGTGGGGGGCTGTGTCTGCTGTTTTGTCTACAGTGCCGTAACATTATTATTATTTTTTTTTTACCAGTTACTTCCACACCACTTCTTTCATTATGCTGATCTGTGAAGTGGAACGTAACGCTGGCGGAGTTGAGAGGTCAGGGGCTCCCGCTGCCTAGATACATACAGTCTAATATTAGAACATTTCCTTGATTTGTTAGCAGCATCTCTGCTGACTCTCGAGCACATGGCAACAGACCGGCCAATAGGATTTCAGGAGACCACTAAGCCCCCTGCTCTGTATAGCAACAGTGGCATCCTTCCCTTATTTATTTATATAGGAGTTTTTTTTCCCACCGACTCATTCTCATGCTTCTGTCCCCCCACTGTGCAGCTACACTGTGCTCTCAAACTGTGAAAAAGAGTTACGGTGCAGAGAGTAGTGCTGCTGTTTTACTTTTGCCTTTCCTTTTGCCTGCATAAGCTCTAAAACCTACATCATTTTTATAGATTTCTTTTTCATACTTAGATTTTTATAGGTTTGTTTTACACTGCACGCCGCAGATGACTGGAGTTTTTTTTTTCTGCATGTAAAAGTAAAAACAAAGTGGGAAATGTCCTGGAAAAAGCTTGATTTTCATGAAGACACAAGGTGTACCGAAGAAGAGGAGAGGAAATACCCAGAGGAATGGCATCGTGGGAAAATGTGGCACTCAGAGGGGACGGACAACAACCAAATGGAGAGGATCTTAAAAAGATGGAGGACACAGGGGGAGAGGCGGTACGGGATAGGAGGAGTGGGGGGGTGGAGGGACATAGGATGGCGTGAGGACCGAGGCCTGTGGTTGGTTTGATCTGAGCCACGTGTGCGTCCAGCCACGTCTCTTTGCCGCTTCATGGATGTCGATGAAACGTTGGCTTCCCCTGCCGCCCGGTCCCTTCTGTCTTGGCCCAGGTAGGTGCGCACTGTCCCGTCCTGCTGAGTTTCCTGATGGTGTTTCATTTTTGTCAGGCTGTTATCTACATCAGAAGTTGCCATTTTGAAAGTTCTGTGCATGTTCAACCTTCATATTCTTCGTCATTTCAAGCTTAGGTACGGGACGATGGAAAGCTTAAAGGCGTTGGGGAAACATGGCGTACGTCAGCCGTCCCGTTTTTGGGATGAAACGCTGATCAATAATAGACTACGACTAAATATTTAAGAAAAAAACAGCCATCACCTGCAAAATAATTACGATCAGCATTAGCTGTTGGACGGTGATTTGGCGATTTCGATTGACTGACTCTTAAAGTATGTGACATTTTCAGCAGAGCACTGCTGTAAATTTCAACATACGTAATAAGATTTTTATGAATCCAACTTTGCTTCTCACCAATACTGTTCCTTATGGATCCACCGATACAATATTAGTGCATGAGCTGAGCAAACACCATTTACTTCATTTTGATTAGGTCACCATTACAACACACACAATGTAGTTTGGGACAGAACGTTTTGCTGACTTACAATCATAAATTATAGCCAACAAAGCAACATATAGATACCAAAAAAAGGTTATAAATGATTTGTGTTGAGAAACAACCGAGCTGTGTGTCGTCGCAGATGCATGGGTATGAGAAGTATGAAAACATGAGAAAATGGCTTATGTGATAAAGATCCCAGGGGTTTGTACGAAATTATATTTAATATTTTGCATCGTCCCTACAAGAACTGGACGCAATGTCCCGTGAATATTGAGCCGTGAAGACTTGGTGGCTGCGTACCATTCAAAGTATTTTGGTGCTGACGCCATTTCCAAAGCTTCGACTTTTGATCTGCAATGTTGCATTACGCATACATTTTGATACTACTATATGCTTCTTTTGTAGACACATTCTGAGTCTACTATCTACTATACTATACTATAATTGTCATATAATCAGCATGTAGCTTGATGCCTCTGACACTGACTAAAGTTGTTCAGATTAAGAAGTAAAAAATTACATCAGCGAAGTTAAATGAGGTTACAGTTTTTTTTTCAGTCGCAGTTTAGAGTTACAGCAACTATGACCTTTTTTTTTGTTATAACCTCTTTAATTGTGAGGGGATCTGATCAATCATGAGAAAAGAAAAAAAACAAACAATTACAATAAATCTGGATTAAAATAAAGTTTCCTCTTGTGGAGCAGCTAGATGATACCCCCACTTCACATCCCTTATAGGATAGAATAGGATAGGATAATAAACCGCTGACTAATCCCAGATGCTTAGGAGAGGAAGAGGATTTAGCCACAGTCCCCCTGAATTCTTTACTATGTAATGGGTTTCATGATATAACACAGTACAGTCATTTAAAAATCGGTTGACACAGACTTCCCAAAAAGAAAAATCCCAGGAAATCCAGAAAATCCCCAAAAGGCAATATCTTAAACTCTCTTGGGTATTACATGCAGTCTTTTTTCATTTTACTTTTAAGGGCGACACTCGTGGAGTACAAATTAATATGTGTGGGGAAATGCATGCTTGAGGTGTCTTTTGGTAAAGAAAGGAATCCTTGTGAGCGTATTTATTTTAGTGCCGATCATCATCATCAGGATGTTAAATGTTGACGCTGGGACAAATAAGGTCCGGAGCTGAAGCAACATGATTTTCATTGTTACATATAATCTGCTTATGTTTCCAGTTATTCTGTTAGAAAAAAAAAAATCTTGTCTGTCACACAGATAGCAGATATTTAATTACCAAATTAACCTCTTATGTTGTAACACAGCCTTTTCCCTGATAGATGACAGCTTGTTTTTTGTTTTTATTTAGCATTTGGAATTTCTCACAAGTCGCAGAAAAAAAAAAACACACCATCTGTGACACACACCGAGTCTGGATTGTGCTTGATAAAACCAGCCTCTGCATACAGCTTGGTCTGCAATTAACCTGCTCCTCTTGATCACAGTGAACATTATGAGTGGTTAAGATTGATAAAGTATTCCAACATGGTACAGTATGTGTAATTCTAGATGCATAATATAGTAAATAGATTGAGAAACCATTTATGTAACAATTAATCTGACAGGAATGTCATGTTACTTAATAATTAAGTCACCGATCAGCCATAACATTGTGACCACCTGGGCGCCCTGGTTGTGTAACAATACATGGTGTTGAACATTTTAGTGCATAAACATGGCCGTAACTAGGACTGCCCAATTAATCAAAATATTACTGAAATATGGCGATGAGTGCAATATGCAAATTGCAGAAGCTGCTGTTGTGAGAAAAAAAAGGATCATCATTATTATATTGCAATATATGTCAACATAATGGCAATGTGATTTTTATTTATTTTTTTACCAGCTCTTGCAGCTCTAGCAGTCACAGCAGTGATTGAGTATAAACCTGTTTTGCGAGAAGCCTCCACAAATACTGATACTGACAAAGCCAGAGGTTAAATTAAAAGATTACCGAGCATCAACACACAGGGCAGAAAGTCGGGAACACGAGTACGCATTTTAAATATAAATGTTTAAACGTGGATCATATTCATTTAATTGTCAGAAGCCAAAAATGTGATCATAATTAATATTTGATTAACCGTGCAGCCATTTGACACAGTGCAGATTATTAAGCCGGATGTTTGCATGCAAAAAAATGCTAAAAGATTTATTTTCCTCTTTCTACAGTACGGAGTCTTAAAACTTTGTTTGTGCCTTTTTTGTTTTAGGTTTTCTGATATGAAATGATGTGGGTCCTTGAGGAAGAGATCATACAGTCGTGCTTCAGTCTGTTACTCTCCAGTGGGTTTACAGCTCAATAACTAGTGTCGATGTATCTATGAAGCAGGCACTCAGCCGTTCAGGAACCAACTGTGGTTGTTCTGGGTAGCTCCCAGGTATGAATCCCTTGCAGCGAATGACTGGGAAGCAGAACAGTGCTCGACTACCAGTATTATAAAACTCCCACTACATAGAATGTCATCGCTGTGCTCTGTGATGAGTTTAAAGCGGGGGTTCAGGCTGAGGAACATGCTCTACCTCCACAACACAGGGCAGCCTTGAACTCTGCACCGGCACCCTCTCTTCCCCTCAGCCATGAGTGTAACCGTTAGCTGATAGTATGTGATCAACAGCACCGTGGCACCTACCATCCTGCTGCTTCACCACCTCAATAATAGCTGGACTACTTAGTCTTTGTTGTGAAAAATGGCACGAGAGGGTTTCCAGCTCAAAGCTTTCGACAACAAAGACCGCACAGAAGACAACGAGCTCCAGCCGGCTGATTTCCCAACGTCATCGCTCGCATCCCTCCATCTCAGGGATGAGGCTGTGGTCATCAATGAGAACATTAACCATATGGTGGATAATCCTGAGCCCCATTCTGTATTCCCTGAGATGATGTCATCACTGCTTAACCAATCACAACAGCAGACAGACATATCCATGGCTACTAGGCCTGAGCCTTCACCAGCAGCTCAAGGTAAGATTAAAAAGGTGCTATACTTAAACATATCACTCTCATCGGTTGAGTTACTGTTTCTAACGGTTTGATCGATAAATGCGTCACTGCAAACTGCCGTGCACGTGCCAACCTGTTTCTGATTGCTATACTGTGATGGAAATTCACATACGCTTTCAACACTAATCATTCAGCCAAATAATCAACACTACAAACTCAATACTGGGACATTGTATATTTGAAGTAAAAAAAGAGAAAAGAATAAAGCACATCACTCTCTCTGGAGCTGATGATGGAAGTAGCTGAGGAGTGAGCCCTCTCACTTCCTTCTCTTCTCTGTTGAGAGTTGCAAGAAAATGGTAGAGGTTAAACTATTACTTAAACAATGAGTTGTTAAAACAGTTGTCAATATATTTGTGTTGACTGAATGATTAATTGTTTTAGCTCTAGAGAAGGGGCAGTGTTTGGTGGGTGGGGGCTAAAGGTCCCTCATTACCACCACTAAGACAAGGCCTTTAACCCTAACCGCTACAGTGGAGCTGATCTGTTGTCTTATAGTCAGCTTCCAGGTGTGAATGTGATCAGGACGTTCCTGCAAAAGAGAGGATTCCTCTCAAGAACCTTCCCTGAATAAATAAAAGGTTAAAAAAATAAAATAAAAAAGTAATAATGTCAAAAAATCCAAGAGAAGTTGTAGCAGCTGGGATCAAATGGTTTCCGGGGCTTAGTGAGTCGAATGATTCACCTAGATTCAAGATTTATTAGATGCAGAGCTTTTATTAGGTTTACACACCAGGCAAGTTTTTACAGAGCTCCACTGTTTGTGGGACCCGGGTTAATGAGTTCACGCCCTTTCTAATTTTACAACAGCATACGTATGATTCCTCTAGCAAACAGCTCTGTCTGCAGCAGCAATTTAATGCATCTCCAGGCATGCCATCACAAGTGCTGGAGGGATGATTTACATCAACTGCTAACAGCACACCTCTCACAACACACGTATCAATGCATGTGTGCATAACCACATACAGACAAACCCAAATAATTCACACAGAAATGTAGAGCTTTCAGGAAATGCCTGACTGACAGATTGTCACCTTTCTCTGCTTCCCTAATGCCACATTAACACACACACACACACACACACACACACACACACAGGGACAATAAACATAAACAGACACAGTGGCACATCAACTCGAGTCCTTCAGGCCGACATGGCATCTCACTGCAGACAGCTGTTGTTTGTTAGGCGAGGCAAGGCGAGGCGAGGTCGAGCACTAAGCAGCAGCGAGTCTGGCTGAGTGTTGAGGAGTGCCCGTTCTGGTATTTTAGGCAGTCAGACAGTGTCACCTGTCAGCAGACTAGTCTGGACAGAGTCTCCCACATGGTGCAAGACTAAGCAACACAACGATATCTCCCTCTGGTGTCCATGTCAGTGGGCCAGCAGTGTGTGTCACGGCCACAAAGTGCAGATAGCCACATACAGACGGGCCACGGCTGCGACAGGAGTAACACCGGGTCGTTGTATGGTTGATGTTGCAGAGTTCTCGGAGTCTGAGATGGGCCAGAACGACAGCGAGGCTCAGTCTCACACCCTGACAGCGCACCTGCAGGATCTTTCCTCCCCTGTTGATCATGATGATGTGTTTCCTTCCCTAACAACCAACACTGCCAAGGAAGGAGGAGGTACTCTCTAGCATCTCTTTGTTCTGCTTGTTAGAAGAGTAACAGATATTATGACGCATATTTTAATTACTTGTGTTCCAAAATAAGGGAAATGCGCTCTAATATAATGAATTTTAGCATAAACTGCTACAGTCTTTAGCAGCCTCTCCTGTTTTTGTAGTACTGCTATTTTAAAAATTGTAACTTTAACCCTAGAAATAACCTAATTTTAACCAATAAGAAGACATTATATAATGTGTGAAAACAGGATAAAAGGAGGGAAATCGTTTATGGAAGTAGTAGTACTTTAAAAAAAAATATATATATATCTTTAACATTTCAGATTGTGCAAAACTGCACTGTTACATAAAAAATAACAGCAAAGATAATAATAATAAAAAACAAACAAAAAACTTAAAAATAATAATGATAAAAAATATTAAACACTTGAACTTCTGTATTTTTGTGTTTGCAATTCTGTTTGTAACTAAAAGTTATATTGCCTTTGTGATCAGAACTTCAACTCAAGAACAACATAACCAAAGCAATGGCAGCATGTAACTCCAGCTCGGATGACAACCATCTGTCTCATGCAGAGTGGTACTGGGGAAATATCTCGAGGTACTGAATAATATGCTGTGTTTGACGTATCACCTGCTAATATGATATAGAACATTAATCAAATTCTCTTTAATGCCAATTCCTTTAAATTGGCAGAAATGGCAGTACTTACAATACATAAAAAGTCTGAGGCTTCTAGGCTTCTAATTTTGTCTTTGAGTTGTTTTCTTAAAACTCCTACGTGAACAGTTTGAAACCTTAATGTCCTTTGTGGTTGTCCAGAGAGGAGGTTAATGAGATGATGAGAAACACTCCTGATGGCACATTCCTGGTCCGAGATGCTTCCAGTAAGAATAAGGGGGAATACACTCTCACACTAAGGTAACTACTTTTAAAGTCTTATGTGCGAACACAGCTGACAAAAAAATACATTTTTAAATCACTGTTTTAATGTGTTCATCACATGACAAGACAATGATTACATGTTATCATGTTAAACTGGGTATGGGTAGTATAAACTCAGCAGGTCTCAAAGTGTTTCAGTCTTTGAGCTGCTAATGTTATAATGATTATTAATGAGTACTTAGTATCTTGTGGGAAGGATATGTTTGCCCCAAATAGAATACATGTAGTCAGAGGTCAGTTAATATTCCCTTGTTTCAAAGTCTAACTTTAGCTTTCTGGTTTCAAAGTCTTAATTTAGTTTTACTGGTTTTAAAATGTAACTTTATACATTTCCTGGGTTCTGTCTAATTTTAGTTAAATCAGGACAGACTAGGTTTCAGATATAAAGCTTTGTTGATAAGAGTTTGGCGCAGCCTCCAATGGTCAGCCACATAACACCCGGTCTAGACGATGTGTTTCAGTCGTGTTTTTCCAGTCATCTGTCTCACATTTGTAGGAAGAACAGACACATCCTCAGTCATTGCTGTCTACACTGTCTACCTTTGGACAAACTGTCTCCCAAAGCTCTTCTTAGGCTACATTTTTCGGCTTAGTAGGGATTTGTCCATACACTGTGTATTGGACTGTAAAAGTTAAAACAGTGCCTTTCTGAGAGCAATAGAAACCTGCCAACTTGCTGGTTTCACTCTGCTGTCAATGTAGAAAACCTGTTAATTTTAATAGTGAGATTACACTGTTGGCATCCAGATAGAAATCTGTTCAGGACTTACGGTTGGGTGTTGAAGACAAAGCATTTACATCCGTGGGTTAAGCCCATGAAGCCTCTCATACATATCTGAAATTCATCCCAAACTGATCCCACAAGTCTGATGCTGACCGGCTGCTCCTGTCTACATTAAATTAAATATATCTCACACCAGCAACACTTGTGCTAGAGTTCTGCTGGGCCCATGAAATTTTTGGATCACACACCAGGCACTTGAAATATCCACTGGCCAAAGTGTTGCAAGGAAGAAAGAAACCAGAATATAGAAACCAGAATATTTGCTAAGCTCCATTCTTTCTCATTTTCTGGAGGGAAAAAATGATTTCTTACTTCCACTTGCTTGACTTTTGCAGAAAAGATGGCTCCAACAGACTGATAAAGATCTTCCATCAAGGGGGGAAGTACGGCTTTTCTGAGCCACTGTCCTTTCCCTCTATGGTGGATCTGATCCAGTATTACCAGAACAAGTCTCTGGCCCAGTACAACTCTAAACTGGACACACGGCTACTCTACCCCATATCCAGATACCAGCAGGTGGGTTTATGAAGCCTGAAGATGTGAATGTGTTGGGATTTATGTATCACTAGTAAATATAATAAATAAATATTTGTATATATTGCAGAGGTTTATTGTTATTGTTACAGTTTTACTTCATGTTGTCCTAATGTGGTTTAGGCTGTATCAGAACTAGCAACAGGGATAGTTCATTTCAAGGATGCTTTTGTGTGAAATTGGAGTAACAGTGGAAACAGTGGACATGATAAATGTCACAGTCACAAGGCTTTTGTAATGTTAGTTTAGATTCGATTGAATGCATCAAAGGAGATTAAAAAAATGGACCTGGTCCTAAATACCTTTTACATTCTTGTCTATATAGCAGCAGGATGTGATGGAAGTTGACATTGATGCAGTTGGAGAACAGCTGAGGATATTTCAGGATCAATACAAAGAGAAGAGCAAAGAGTATGACCATCTGTATGAGAAGTTTAACGAAACCTCCCAGGTACAAGAGCATCCTAATAATTCAGACTTCATTTTACTAAATAAAGCTGTGGTTTTGTTGGTTCAAAGTACTATCTATTACCTCTGCATGTTTTACCACAACAGTGCCTTGATTGTAAGGCCTTGACAACAAAAGATTTGTTTCCTCTCGTCTCCAGGAACTGCAGAGCAAGCGTACAGCCATAGAGGCTTTCAGTGAAATCATTCGGATCTTTGAAGAGGAGTGTGAAACTCAAGAACGCTACAGCAAGGAATACATCGACATGTTCCTCACATTAGACAGCAGTACAGAGACTGACAAGTACGCATCCAAATACCAACCCTAAAAACACTCACTGCTGGCCGTGATCCTTCACCGTGCGCACATCAAACTATCAGACTCTGAATTGTTTACTGACGTTGTTCCTTCTCTTCCTCCTCAACCTCCTCCCTCATTCCAGGATTCAAAGCAATTCAGATGAGCTGCAGTCGAGGGTGGAGGAGATCCACAGCAGCAAGAAGAAGTTGGAAGAGGAGCTGAGGAGAAAGGCTCAGGCTCACATGGAGGTTGACAAGAAGATGAACAGCCTGAAGCCCGACCTTGTGCAGCTCAGGAAGATCAGAGATCAATACCTGCTGTAAGTTTAACCATTCAGCAACTTAGATTCTGGAAGGACGAAAAAAGGGGGAATAAAGAGGTTTTTCACAGCAGAGGAAGAGGTGGCAGAAACTAACCACAAGTTATAGAGACCACACTCTTCTGGATGTACTGTATCAAGCAGAGTTATGAGCCTTATAATTGTGTCAAATCTATCTGCATATCAGGTGACCCCATATGCCGTCCCCAACCCCAGTGCAAAGTATGCGTGTTAACATGACTCTGAATAATTAGCTGATAAGCTAACACAAGATGAAATCCATCTGAGATATCATTGATCAAATATTTAGCTCAAACTGTCGGTCACATACCATTAACACAGCTGAGTTGTAAACAAGCAATCAGCTGTTGTCATCCATGTTGCCACAGCTGTGGATCTCCAGTATGCCCAGTACGAGGCTTTATTATGACCCCGATGGGAAAACTGTGTCTTCTAGCCAACTCTCATCTTTTCTGTCTTCAGTAAATAAGCAGAAGTGGTTTATTCAGGTTTTGAACAGGGTGCCAAAATAACCACAAGCCAAACGGCAAGTAAATGTTTAAACTACACCCACTACTCAACAGATTACCATTATTTTTTGTATTATGAGTGTGTGGGTGCAGTTAAAAATACAGCAAGACTCAAGGTATAACATAACTCAAGTGCCTTAACAACTCTTAGAAGTAGAAAACTGAACTGTTTTTTGGGAGGTTTGATCATTTCACGTGCATAGCAGCAACGTATAATGCGACTGTTGCATATTTAACACACTACAATTGACACTCTGATATTAATTGTGTTTTGTGAAGCTCTTCTGTGTCTTGTTGTTGTCTTCTGCTTCATAGTATAGCCTTCTGTCGTGATAACTATATATTAGAGAATGTTTTTCACATACTGCAGCCTTTTTACTGTCTTGTCTGTTTCAGCTGGCTCACTCAGCAAGGCACCAGACAGAGTCAGATTAATGATTGGCTGGGTATCAGGAATGAAGAAGAAGAGTGAGTATCCTTTTTTATCAACTAAGTTTATTGTTTTTTTTAATTAAAACAGAAATGTTCAGAATCTAAAGATTAAAAAAAAAAAATGTTTGCTATTTGTTTTTAGTTACTTCATAAAATCTGCCTCTCACTAGACTAGAACTTTAATCATGCATCTACTATATGTGCCCAGGTCTTTTAAATGTCTTTTGTCTTAAAACTAACTAGCTAACCTTGGCAATAGTGCGTGCAGCTCACTGTGGCAGATTTATTACTATTTTTCCTGTTGGTAAGAACCCAGGTTCAGTTGCTCACATTTGTTTGAAGGACAGCTCATGACCTGAGAGAGATATTATTGATTATAGTTGTGAGAGGCATGGATTACTTCGTATGTATTGTATGCTTTAAAAATATATTTACTAGGGATGCACAATAATTATCGGGACAGATAAATAATCAACTGATAATGGGAAATTTAAATTTTTATAAATTATCAGGATAATTAAATTCCATTAAATCGTCGGTTGATATTAATAATCATTTTTGACTTCTTATGCAAAACGTTTTCTGAGAACTGTTGTTTGTTGTTGTCCTTATCCCTTAGCCCATACACGCTGGCAGACGATACCCACCAGGAGGAGAGGAGCTGGTATGTTGGCGGTATGCGACGGAAGGAGGCAGAGGAGTTGCTAAAGGGGAGAAGGGACGGGACCTTCTTAATCAGAGATAGCCAGACTCAGAGAGGCTCTTTTGCCTGCTCTGTCGTGTGAGTACCATCAGATTTGTATCTTTAAAGTATTTAAATTCAAGATTAAATGACCCAGCCTGTCTAATCCTAAATGAACGTACATTTTTCCCAAAAATGGGTGCAGTGCAAATTTAACTCCTAACCTTGTCTGCGTTGGGCCATTGTTGTTCTTAAAATGATATTGTTGATCATGGTAATTTTAATCATGTTAATCAGATTTCTTCTCTTGCAGCGTGGATGGGGATGTGAAGCACTGTGTGATCTACAGGACGTCCACAGGGTACGGCTTTGCTGAACCCTACAACCTGTACTCGTCGCTGAGAGAGCTGGTCCTGCACTATCGACACACATCCCTGATCCAACACAACCAGCAGCTGAATGTAACCCTGGCCTGGCCCGCTCTCAGCCAGCAGCCCAGCTGAGACACACCAGCATGCCACCCTGATGGCACTTCCCCAAAGCTTCACTGTATTAGCACTGAGGACGCACCAATATGGACACTGTTACCAGGCTCTAACCGAAACAATGCTCAGATTTGGATATGTAGAAATCCTACACTGGTAAGATGCTACAGCAAACAAAACACACTGAAATTGCTTTGCTAAGTTACTTGGAACACAACAGTAGTTTTAAGGGTTAGTTCATTGTCAACTTTGTCTGTTACAATAGTAGCATATGTAGCTCCTGGCAACAGCCAGGCTGAACTTCTGTTCTAGCTTAATTTTCTACTTTATTTTTAAAAACCATTATTCCTAATGGTAAAAATCCCATTTACTCGCCATCTGCACATACAGCTTGCAAAACACAATTGGGATTAAGTACTTAGTATTTACAGCATTCAACATTGAATTAAATCTTTTGCAGCCGTACTGAGGTAGTACTGAAATATTGCCTCATCATGACGCTAGAACCGTTATCAGTGATTTTTCCCAACCTGTATCACAGTTGCAAAAACAGTGAAGTATGAAGATATCAGGGTAACACAGGATATCAGTATCTAGCTCTCAGAATACTGATTGCTTAAACTGATTTATATATAAAAATTATATATAATTTGGAGTATAAAAAGAATGACACATTTCTCTGAAGAGGGGAAGAGAAATTAATGGAAGTTATCCACTAATCCAGACACGAAATGTTGTCAGCAACTTATTTATTTATTTTCCTGAAGGCAAGCAGAAGAAATCCTAAATATTTAAAAAGCTCCAGTGTGTAACATTTACTTCAGGAGTGTCCATTGGCAAAAATGGAATAAAATATTCGTAGGTATGTTTTCATTAGTGTACAATCACCTTAAAATAACAACCTTTGTGTTCGTGTTCGTGTGACAAACCAAACGCTTACTATTAAGCCACCATAGTCTCTTCAACACATTTGGAAGATAAGCAGTATTTAATTGGTCCTGATCTACAACTTCACCACTAGATGACACTAAATCCTACACACTGGTCCTTTTAGAAGAAAATATTAAACTTCATATAGTATTGAATTCATGGTCAATCTTGCCTCAAACATTTCTAAAATATTTTTGTCCAACAATCCAAATTAATGCTCTGTATCGTGCTGTGTCTGGCATCAGACTGTACATAGTACTCCAAGCTAAATTAATTTTTAAGCTTTGAAAAAAGTGAATGTGTTGCCCCCCCCCCCACATTAAACATCTTAAATCCATATCAGTGCAGCTGCAGTGTTAAGGTGCTTCTGGGAAACTGAGCTCAGGATGGGACTCTGCTCTACCCAGCACATGTGCACTATGGGTAGTGTAGAAACTGAGGAGACACACGAGCACTTTATCCAAAACAAGACAACCAGAACACACACAGACACAGAGATGAGTCACCAGTACACCGATTTCACATGTTGATGAGTGCTGGTTGAGAAGAAAAGTTTTTATTGCAGTGATTAGGAATTATGGATTTACCCGAATTTTGTCAGTTGAATCGGACTTGGCTGTTCAATTCAATAATTTGTTACTTTCAGTCCAGCGCCACACTACACTCCTATATGAGCATTTCCTGCGATGGAAGCACGGTTACATGAGTCTCATGTTTTAGCCTACCTCACGTTTAATGCTTTACTTTGTCATCTGTGATGTGAAAAGATCAGATTTCCACAAAGTCAAGGAAAGTAACAGTGTGCGTCTTGCTCATAGTTCAGTTACAGAATTTCAGCACAGTACGGAGCATCTCTGCTGCCGGGCTGCTGCTGTTAACTGGAGTCACTCTCAGTAAGGCTGCTCAATTAATC